AGTTACAATATTAAATCTAACAATTACAATATTAAATCTAAATTGAAGCTGCTTACAAATGTTAGGTAACCATATAACAGTTTACACAGGGCAGGGTCAGGAGGCGATGCTTAGAGAGATAGTTGATGAGAGAGAGAAAGAGAGAGAGAAAGAGAGAGAGAAAGAGAGAGAGAAAGAGAGAGAGAAAGAGAGAGAGAAAGAGAGAGAGAAAGAGAGAGAGAAAGAGAGAGAGAAAGAGAGAGAGAGAGAGAGACCTCACCACTCCACGGAGCTTGCACTGATCGGGGTTCCCAGATGATGATGGTAGCCGGGGGTCCAGAGGGCAGGAGAAAAGCAGGACAGAGCCCCCAGCACGATCAGACAGGAGATGAAGAAGTCTCAATGGAACTGATGCAGTTTAAGTCCAGGTATCAGAACAGTTTTCTTGGGGCAAGGATAGGAGTTTTATAGGGATAGTTCAAAGAGAAAGAGGAGAGACAATAGAGACTGATCACCCCTGGTTATGGGGGATGTTCCTTGAACAAGCTCACAATGCAACTTGGCAGTTTCAGTATTTTAGATGTCAATAGGATCGTTACTAGAATTGGTCTGATAATGACTAATTTGGGTGTGAGCAGGCCTAGGTTCATTAGCATCTGGAGCAGGGATTTCCCATCAGGCAGTGCTTCTCTGCTTTCGGTGTCCCATAGTTCACTGCGGTTCCTGCCTTGGAAGAGCTGCTCTCCATTCTGTATGCTAATGAGATGTCCCTCTGTTCCATCTTTAATGCAAATGGCTGGGGTGTTTCCTTAATTGTATCACCCTTGTCTGAAGCAGTTTAGGTGGGTCTTCCCCGGCCTTTTCATTGTTTTGTCTTTGATTCTAGCAGAGGCCTGAGGGAGGGGAATGGTTTTCCATGAATGTCACTCCCTGACTCCCCAAGAGCACAAGGCTGACAGGTGACCATGTTCTGGTTCCCCAATAATCACAGAGCTGGTGGATAACACTCTCCCCCTAGCTTAGCGTCATCCGCAAACTTGCTAAGGGTGCAATCCATCCCCTCCTCCAGGTCATTAATAAAGATGTTGAACAAAACCAGTCCTAGAACCAATCCTTGGGGCGCTCCACTAGAAACCGACCGCCAACTTGACATTGAGTGGTTGATCACTAACTGCTGTGACCGGCCTTCTGGTCAGCTTTCTATCCATCTTACCGTCCAATTATCCAATCCACATTCCCTTAACTTGCTGGCAAGAATATTATGGGAGACCATATGAAAATCTTTGCTGAAGTCAAGATGTATCACATCCACGGACTTTCCCATCTCCACAGAGCCAGTTACCTCATCCTAGAAGCTAATCAGGTTGGTCAAGTGGAGCTAAGGGGGGTGCAGGAGCCCGGACTGCACTGGGAGCAGACTGCACCAGTCAGAGCCTCAGAAGCAGGCCAGGGAGCAGACCAGTGCTGGAGAACAGCTGCAGCCGGCAGAGCCAGAGAGGCCAGAGGTAGCGCAGCAGCAGGTGCTGGTGCTGATGCCCTGTGATGAGCAGCTGAGCTGAGCGAATATGGAGGAATCCTGAGATAATTCAGAGCAGAGGCTGAAAGTGGGGGCAGGAGGCCTTGCAGGCCAGACTTGGAGAGTGGAATCCTTCTCTTCTCAGGCTACGTCTGCTTGCAGAGCATCCACACAGCAAGCGTGTTTTTGTGCAGGTAAATTTACAGTGAATCAACAGAAGAATCCCAGGGCTTCTGGGGGGGGGAGTGGAGAGGGTGTGGCTCAACTATTTTGGTCCCTTTTTTTCTTTGCTCAACCAACTTTTTTCCTGACATGTTCGGTATTTTTTCTGAAACTAGCTGTCAGCCCTACCTGCAGGCGGCATGTTGAGCCCTGCAAAAACCCAAACTGCACCATGGGCCACAAGCAAACAGGCTTGCGTGGCCCTGAACTAAGGGGAGAATTTATCCCACAGCACTTATACCACTGTCAGGGTATGTCTACACTACAGAGTTAGTTCGAACTAAGCTAATTCGAACTAACGCGTCTAGAACTAAAAACTAGTTCGAATTAGCGTTTTGCTAATTCGAACTAGCATGTCCACATTGAGTGGACCCTGAACAGGGCTTAAGGATGGCCGGAAGCAGTGCCGGCAGGGCATCAGAGGAGGACTTAGAGCGTGGAGATGCTGTCTCAGGCTAGCCGAGGGCTGCGCTTAAAGGGAGTTGCTGGGAGTGGCCGACAGAGGATGGATAGTTGCCCTCTTGTGTCCATTGCCTTTGAAGAATCCAACATCAGCTACTGTTGGAAGATGGGCAACTGGGGTAGAGGGATCATTGTTCTCACCCAGTCTGGTCATTTTTGATGGTTTAATTTTTCCATAGACTCATAGATTGGAAGAGACCTCAGGAAGTCATCGAGTTCAACCCCCTGCCCTAAGCAGGACCAACCCCAACTAAATCACCCAGACAGGGCTTTGTCAAAGTGGAACTTAGAGATTTTTAAGGATGAAGATTTCACAGCTTCCCTAGGGAACCCATTCCAGTGTTTCACCATGCTCCTAGTGAAATAGTTTCCCCTAATATCCAATTTAGACTTCCCCCACTGCAACTTGAGACCATTGCTCTTTGTTCTCTCATCTGCCACTACTGAGGACAGCCTCACTCCATCCTCTTTGGAACTCTCCTTCAGATAGTTAAAGGTTGCTATCAAATCCTCCCTCACTCTTCTCTTCTGTAGACTAAGCTCAAATCCCTCAGCCTCTTCTCATAAGCCATGTGCTCTAACCCCCTAATAATTTTTGTTACCCTCCGCTAGATTTTCTTCAATGCCTCCACATCCTTTCTGTAATGGGCGGGAGGGGGGCAGGGCAGCATTGGGTGCAATACTCCAGGTGTGGCCTCACCAGTGCTGAATAAAGGGGAATAATCACTTCTCTAGTCATGCTGGCAATGCTCCTACTAATGCACCCTAATATACCATTAGCCTTCTTGGCTACAAGGGCACACTGTTGACTCATATCCGGATTCTTCTGAGGTAATGCCCAGGTCCTTTTCTGCTGAACTGCTGCTTAACCAGTTGGTCCTCAGCCTGTAGCAGGGCTTGGGATTGTTCCATCCCAAGTGCAGGACTCTGCACTTGTCCTTGTTGAACTTCATCATATTTCTTTCGGC